TGTGTTTCTGTTAGCTAGTGAATGCGTATCTGTCAGTGAATGTGTGTGTGTGTGTATTTAGAAAGCGGAGCAGGGGGGGAGGGTTGGGTGGCGGTTGCGCGGGTGGGGGTAGCGCGGGGGTGTGCCTGAGTTTTGTCCTGCCTAGGGCAGCACAAAACCAGGATACACCACTGAGTATGGGCACATCTATATAGTAACAGAGGGACACGAGGTCGCTCTCTCTCTTGGCTCTCTTGGCTCTTGGCTCTCTTGGCTCTCTTGGCTCTTGGCTCTCTTGGCTCTCTTTCCTGTACAACTATGTAACTCTCCCATAAGGAGTCCAGCAATTACCATCTGCTGTTGAAATCCATTATCCTGTAACATCCTTTGTTGTTTTATTATGTATCAGTAACTAAGAATAAACCTGAAGAAACCGTAAGTCAGATTGCGTATTAGTACTTTTCATTAATATAGACATATATTAATGTAGCGAGCAAATTTGGCCCAAGACTATTTATACAAAAGACTTATATATCAATCAACTGAAGAGAAGAAGAAATTAAGAAGATTCAACATTATCATTCCAACCAGATTTTACACCCTGGCTGAATGGTCAGTCCTGTCCCTGCTCAAAACGATATGTGGAACGCACTTCAAGTCTCTTTAGAAGAAGGGTCTTTGAACATATTAGCAACATTAGAATCAGACTCCAGTCACATAATCTTTCCAGACATTTTAGGCAATTTCATTCTACAATTTTTAATAATTGAGAAGGAAGACACCCATTGGAAAGGAGGTATAGATAAAGAACTTGACAAAGCAGAAACAAAGTCAATCTATTGTCTCAATACCTTAGTACCGATGGACTGAATGTAGAGTTTGAACTCAATGAGTTCTTATATATCGTCATTACATCAGATCCATTCAGCTTTCCCCCCACCCTTTTTGGTTGTTATCCCATTCGTATCCCACATATGGGTTTTTATAAAGTGTTTTTCAACATAAAGATTTTATTGGCTCCTTCACTAGGCATTTTTAAATTAATTAATTTTTTTAACTATTTTAATTTATTTTATTAATTTCCACTTTATTCCTGATTTATAGCTCGATATCATTTGGTCCTCATTTTTACCTCTTTTAAGTCCATAATTCTGAATTTACGTTTCTTCACCATCACAATCTATATATATATATTTTTTTTTCCCTGTAGAGATAATATTTTATACATATAAGAAATATTTGTTAATTTATATTCAATTTGTATTTATTTATTTTTCAAGTTACATATAAGAGGGATATTTTGACATGTAATGTACTTTGGATTTTAATGTACTTTCTATTTCATTTTCAATGTCTTACACTATATTACTACGTTTATGCTTTTGTAGCCTTGTCTCATCTGTAACTACAGGTTTACAAGCATAATATGCTTGTATTCATGCCTTGTGCAAGTAATTATATTAAGATGTTATTGTCACTTTAATTAACTCTTTCTTAATGTCCAGATTTACAGTCTCCAAAAAAGAGCCTCAGAGGAAGTGAAGCATTCTTCACGCAACGCATAAGGTAGAGCTCTCAATTCCAGGAGCGAGGTAAAACGTTTCGCGGTGGAACGCAGGAGGCGATTGGAATGCACACTGAGCCTGCATCCAGTGCCAAACAGTTTCTACAAGCTTTTGAAATTCAGCTCCCGTCACACAGTGTAAATTGTTATAGTGAGTTGATATATAGCGTATTGAGATAGTGAGTTGATATAGCAAATTGATACAGTGAGTTGATATAGTGAATTGATATAGTGAGTTAATATATGGAATTGATATAGTGAGTTGATATAGCGAATTGATACAGTGAGTTGATATATGGAATTGATAGAGTGAGTTGAGGAAGTAGTGGAGAAAAAGGGCTGTAGTGGGGGGTTATTCCCATCCTTGACATCCTGGCACCGATTGCTCACCTCAGATATGATGCAAAAAAGTCCCAGTGCTACCTGACACATTCAAAGATGCCGCATAGTGAGTTAATATATGGAATTGATACAGTGAGTTGATATAGCGAATTGATACAGTGAGTTAATATATGGAATTGATACAGTGAGTTGATATAGCGAATTGATACAGTGAGTTAATATATGGAATTGATACAGTGAGTTGATATAGCGAATTGATACAGTGAGTTAATATATGGAATTGATACAGTGAGTTGATATAGCGAATTGATACAGTGAGTTAATATATGGAATTGATACAGTGAGTTGATATAGCGAATTGATACAGTGAGTTAATATATGGAATTGATACAGTGAGTTGATATAGCGAATTGATACAGTGAGTTAATATATGGAATTGATACAGTGAGTTGATATAGCGAATTGATACAGTGAGTTAATATATGGAATTGATACAGTGAGTTGATATAGCGAATTGATACAGTGAGTTGATATAGCGAATTGATTTAGTGAGTTGATATAGCGAATTGATACAGTGAGTTGATATAGCGAATTGATACAGTGAGTTGATATAGCGAATTGATTTAGTGAGTTGATATATGGAATTGATACAGTGAGTTGATATAGCGAATTGATTTAGTGAGTTGATATATGGAATTGATATAGTGAGTTGATATAGCGAATTGATTTAGTGAGTTAATATATGGAATTGATATAGTGAGTGGAAGAAGGATGATTTATCGCCTGAAAGCTAACCAAATAAACATGTGTGACTTTTTAATAATTTCGACAATAAATTGATTATTATACAGTAAAGCATTATGGGTTGTTTTCTTTCTATTTAAGTAGATATGTGTCAATGTGATTTATTCAAAGTGGGAAGTGGATTTGTTGTGGATATTCTGAATACATGTACACTTGAATAGTTTGATACGAAGTAGCACCAGATTAATTCGCAATTAAGATGCTACAATGCATGGGAAAGTAGCACACAGGCCAGTTTGTATATTTGTATCCCTTCATATTACTATTCCTTATTTTTATATAGAAAAATACTCTGGACTTTTATTACCACATTTTATTGATGAATTTCTTGAATTTACAGATTTTTAGCTGTGGATTCTGATTAATCTATTTTAGGCTAGTTTTTATTGTGCACAACATCTCCAGGGTTTTATGTATTCACTATATTTTCTATTTCTTTATTTTTTTTCTTATATCCATTTTTACTATTTCCATATTGACTTGAATATCAGCCTCTGGTCATTCAAATTTTTTTTGCCTTGTTCGATATTAAAAAATTATCCCTTACTCCCACTGCCTTTTTAGGATATTATTTTACTTATATTTTTATACATAGTAATCGTATTTCTTCCTTTGTGTACCCTTAAATTTACCATATTATCTATACGAGGATGAAACATTAACTGCCCCTCAATTATACACAAACACACGAATATATTTAAAGAAAAACATAAAACATACGGTCATCTGATATGCAAAACACAACTTACAATTTTAATATAAAGCAAAGTAATATTTATTTACATTTTAAGTCGAAGAAAACTATTGGGTAGTGAAAGAGTTAATTCTTTTAACCTTTGAAAAAAATTGTTCAGGCAGCAGTTGTCACCTGCAGACCCCAGAACTCTCACATTACAGAGAAGACAGCTTGTACCCTACATAGACAATTCACCGCATCAAGACCCTGGCATGCTGCAGGTGTCTGTGTAGTCAGGGGTTTATGTTATCGTAGAATGCTAATGTTTAACTCTGCTGATGTTTTGTGCGTAGGATTGAAAACTCTTTACTCTTATGGCTTTTTCCTGGATGATGGCCCAGTTTGGATTGGATCGGTATAGAAATTCATTATAAAAATTGTATGTAGGTTACTTTTTTTTTTTTTTTTTCTCCACCTACGTGGAATATCTACGAAGCGGTTGTCCTTCTTATTCGGTGTAATTTTTTTTCCCCCTGCTTTCGTTTTTAAAGTGTTTTACTATCAAAAATAGAGCAAGATGAAAAAACAGATAGCATAACATTAAATAAAATAAAAAAAATAAAACAAATGTATTATGCATTTCCTAAATTTTAATACTTTAATGATTTATTACTTTAATCGTGAAAATACTGTATACAAACCTTTATAAAGCATTCACCAAATTCTGCCACCGTAACATTATTCTAGTTAATATATATTTTTTATAGTGTATTATATTTTATGTATTATAGTTCTGTAGATTTTTTTTCTATACCATAAACATTAAGTCAGGACAAGACATTACTTTTAATTTCATGAAGCGTAGTGTGGTCCTGGCAGTCAAAGTTGTTTAAAAGGCAGTATTATTAGAACAATACAGAAATAGCACCATTTTGACCCACACCGGGATCTTTGTCAAACTTTATAGGTCTGGTTGCACCAAGGTCCAACACCTGTTAAGTGTGCAGATTCCTCATTTTCATGTGACTTTTAATGTCGGCATTTTTAAAAAATTCTTTAATTTTCTCGTGCATTTGATTAAATAACATAGGTACCTGTAGCGCCACAATAGCAATTACAGGCCTTTTAATGGCATACATTGTCATGGCAGAAATAAACAGGCTGGGGACACTATTAAGTCTATAAAATGCTAAATACAGGTAAGCTTTGTATGTCTGTTGTGGTGGGTCATGGTGGGGTCGTCAAGCTTGAGTCATTAAACGTACAGTGGTTCTAGTGTGTATAGTGGTGGTTAGATACGATTAAACATTGTTTAGCTAAGGATATCAGTTGATGCCACAACAGCTTAGGTAAGTACGGCATCTTAATTGTAATTCACAAGCATGGCATTAGATTAGGAGCACACTTTTGTCTACGGTGTAGGCAATATAAAAAGGCTTATTGAATTATGTCAGGAGATTAACAACATACAATATGAACATCAACAGGTTATATTAGCTGACATTTGAGTTTGGAGCAGTCATGTGCTTGATAATTTGCCATTTTTAACTGCTAAACTGAGAAATAATAAATAATAAACTATTGAGTGAAGGAAGATTTAATAGCAGAGAGTCCCACCATGCAGCCCCACTCAGCCTACACCCTCCATGGGCAGGGTACCGTCCAGTGGTGAGAGAAGGTCAGCCTATACCCGACAGGTATTGTCCCGGGAGAGAGATCATCAGTGGCCATCGCTTGGAGTTTACCGCTTTTTCTCATAATCCAGGCCATGCCGGTGCTCAGGTGGTTACGTGCTGGGTTCCTCTCAGAGTATCCTCCGGGCTGCAGCAGTGTACCTTCTACCAGCTGGTTAGGACCGGGGTGCTGTAGTGTGCACCAGGGTTTCCAGCTTGGACTCTGTGTTGCTGCAGGGGGACTCCCCCTGTGTTTCTGCCTGTTACTGATTTGCCTGCGTCTTGTGCGAGGGTGACCCGGCGGCAGTCGGGGCTTCTGCGCCTTCCGTGGTGGCGATCGGGTGTCCTGGTGCCAGGCTCCTGCCCAGCTATTTGGTCGTGGGTTCTGCCTGGTAAGGTCATCGCTGTGAGGTGGTGCAGGTTGAAGTAGTCTGCGCTCTAGCCACTGCCAAAACTTTTCAAAGTGCCTGTTAATCTTCGCCAGGACATCATGTGTAGCTTCGGTGGGGCTCTCAGCGCCCATGATTTCTGACATCTTGGGTGGAGGTCTGTGCTCACGCTTTGCCCACGGGGCGGCCTGTGTTGCTTCGGCCCGCCTCGGGTCGTCTCCACTTGGTGGACCGGGATCTCCCCCACTGGTCCAGTGGTGGGGGCGGTAGGTTGAAGTTAAGTCGATGGAGGGCCTCGGCGCCAAGGAGAGTGGCCCTCTCTCCCCTGCCCCAGTAGGCTGCGCCTGGATCTCCGTACTCCCGGCCCCGACAGGCCCCGGGGTTAATGTCAGCATTTTTGAATTGGAAAAATAGCACAAAACATAATATAGGTTAGTGTTAGAATTTCAAACTATTAGCTGACTTAAATGTAAATGGTTTGGAAAAATAAAAGCTATTTGTTCTTAGCTTTGGATTTGATACACTAAACAGTGAAATATGGATGTGTTAACTAACAAGATTTAAACGACAACAATGTGCTAACTTTTTGAATTGTATCAAAGTTTTTAACATTCCGTAACTATCACAAAAAAGGCCACTAAGTACATTTAGAGCGAGCAGCCAATCAGACCATAACAGTTATACAAATTGTTTTTTTAACTGGGTATTCACTGCTTCCAACAAAATGTTAGGCTAGGAAGTATTTCAACAAGTGTGAAACAACGCAGAATAGATTTAAAAAAAATACGGCTACTTTTATTACACTATCTGATAACTAATACCTTTATTTCTAAAGCTCTGGGTTACAACGGATGAGGGTGCACTAACAAATTCTAAAGGTAGAGCTACTTTAAGTATGCTGAAAATTGAATAAATTGAATATGATATATATATATATACACAGTCACAGTTTTGAAATTTTAACTGTGCAAGTATTGTTTCCTTTCTCATATGGTTCATTGGCGGATCCGGGGGGGGGGGGGCAACAGGGTAATTGCCCCCCCTCGAGGCTCTCCTCTGCCGGCTAATGCAGGGCTCCGCAGGCACATTGCTGACAGCCGGCAGGGGAGGGAGAGGGAGGAGAGAGGACCCGGGAGCTCAGTCTGCAGCTCCTCGGGGTCCTCCTCTCGCGAGATTTGGAGTGTTTGCCGTGGTTACCACAGCAACGCTCCAAATCTCGCGAGAGTGAAGTCAAGCCCTGGAGCGCGGGCTAGACTTCACTCCACACTGGACCACCAGGGATTCACCACGAACTACCAGGGACGGAGAAATGTCCCCCCTCCTCCTCCTCAACAAAGGTAAGAAGGGAGGGGGGAGGGACATCAATATATTTTATTAAATACATTTATTTTATTTTTAAAAAGCCTCCCTACCCTCCTTCCTCGCCCATACACACACACACACTGCCCCTCCCACACACACTGCCCCCACACACACACACTGCCCCCCATACACACACACTGCACACCCATACACACACTGCACACCCATACACACACTGCCCCACAAAAACTGCACACACAGACACATACAGTGCCCTACACACACTGCTGCCCCCATACACACATTGCCCCACACACACACGACCCCCCCATACACACACTGCCCCCATACATAAAGTGCCCTTCCCATACACACACTGCCCCAAACACACATACAGTGCCCCCATACACACTGCCACCCTCACACACACACACACACTGCCCCACACATACACTGCCGCCTAACACACATTGCAACTCTGACATACACTGCCGCCCTCACGCACTCACACACACTTCACCGCTCACACACACTGCACCTTTCACACACACTTCACCCCAAACACACACCACTGCTCCTATGCCCTATATCCCAGCAGACCCCAGGTAAGTTGTCAAACTGTTCTTAAACGGTATGACTACTTACTCTGGAGTGGGATCCTGACACTACTAGCACCATAACTACTACACTGAGCTGTAGTGGTTATTGTGCCAGGATTATTTATTTAAATAATCTACAAGTGCCCCTCCCGAGATCAGGCTCTGGATCCGCCACTGATATGATTGCAGTTCTTAAAGGAACACTCCAAACACCTAGAGCACTTTTGCTTGATGAAATGCTTTACGAGTGTAAAGTTTGACTTGTTTTTTTTTTCATTTGACAAGTAGCACAGATTTCAATAGAAACTGTAAAATTCTAATTTAACTTTGCTACACCCCCTGGCTGTCAATCAGACAACAGTTCCTGTTACTTCCTGGTTTGTTTAGCTCAGTGAAACTAAATTCGAGAAGCAGCAATTGACCAGAGCACCTGACTTGCAAAGACTTCTTTGAAAGACTTGGGGCCTTGTGTAATTTTCACAATGCGATTCAGCACTGGATAGGCTAAGATTATCAGTAATGATGATCTCAGCTTGGAAGGTAGTGTTGGCTGTGACAAGACTGAGGAAATAAGGTATTTAAAAAAAATTCTTCCTGGAGGAAGGAATACAAATCTAAATAAAACGTACATCCCTTTAATGTTAAGAATACATATTTACATTGCTTACATTGGATTGTTCTTTTAAGACCTGTTTTACTTAGCTAATCAGGACAGTACAAGCCGTGCTCAGTGGCTGAGGGTGTCTGCTGATGTTCACAGCTAATTAACGTGGCCCTGTATTGGCGCTGCCAAGCGGCAGTGAGACATACGGTTTGTTCTGCAGAAGAAGACTGGATGCGGTATGGGCACATACTATGCTTCGAAATAAAATCTACGCTGATATGCGCTCAGATGACACTGTATTTTGTATTCTTCATCTATTTAAATAAATATTATTAATGGAAAAAAGTGATTAAACCGAGCACAAGGACAGGCACGCACTTACAATTCCCATGCATTTTGTATGGTAGTGGAGATGTATATGGTTATTCACTAAAGAGAAATTTGCTGGAAATTCAAAAGTGATTTCAAAGTGTGAATTTCAAATGTAAGATTAGTAAACCAAACTGAACACTTAATTGATTTGGAGATTTTTTTTCTGAGTTTGCTATTGCTTAATTTAAATTTGAATTCTTTGATTTATGAAGGATTGCGCTCCACCTCGTAATCAAGGCAGAGTTTAACTCAACTAATGACAGTTACAAAATAGCCCCCAAAATAACTACAAACATGCTTAGAAAAAGGTCAAAAACAACCACCATAAAGCCACAATGGGCTGCAAAACACAATAGTAGGAATTAAAATTGAATTTGACCTAAAAGATATAACTCCATATGGCAAAGTTGTTCAAGGTACATGTTCCCAAAAAGACAACGAGAATAAAATGTACTGGCTCAAGAGACTCGATCAAATAATAGAAATACACAATTCGATGTCACATATATTCATGTGAAATGAGTTGCTATCATAGTGACCCCCAAACTTGAGTCATAAACAGTAACATTGTTTATTAAGACAACCTTTAAGAAGACCCTTGAAACTCATCTCTTCAGATAAGCCCATGGTCACTCTTGGTAATCTGCATTCTATAAATCTTTCTCTTCCTAATTCCATCCACCTTCCCTAGATTGTCAGCTCCTTCGAGCAGGGTTCCAATTAACCTCTCGATCCTTTTGTGTCATTTACTGTTATATCCCCACATTAAAATAGTAATATGGTGGTAGCCAGAGGCCCCATAGCCCATTATCCTTTCATGCACAATAGAAATGTCAGAACTAATAATATAATTAGAATTATGATTTACGGATCAGCATTTAGAATGGAATAAATATAAGGCAATGCAATATTTTATAATCTGAATACAATTACATTTTTTTACTTGTCAAATACAAAATTACGCAAACAACATGCTTCTTAAGATCTAAGCAGGTGAAGTGTTGCCTTCCCCAGCCTGCAGTTGAACTCCTGTTATCTCTAATCAGACAACAAGATTTTCAAACGGGGGTTATACACGAAAGCGAGAATTGTTGGGATTCAAAGTGAATTTAAAATTTAAGGTTAAAATGTCTTAACTGGGAAAAAAAAAAAAATCCCCAAGTCAGCTTTGCTTCCCATTTTGCTACTCTGAGCTTAAATTTGAAATTCACTTTGAATTTCTGACAATTTTCACTATAGTGAATGACCGTGATAATTAGATGTTGGAATCCACCAGCAGTATTATATGTATTATATATAGTATTATTCGATCCAATCTGATGTCATTGGCTGAACTTTCAAATAATCACAGCAACAGATAAATTCACCTGAAAACATAATGAGAAAACTCCATTTGGCCCATGAATTATCTACCCTAAGTCACGTACGTTTTCCTGCTGAAGACAGCAGCTATCTACACATGGCTTTCTTGGTATAGTTGATTGTGTATTATCTGCCACCTCTACTGGAAGGCTATTCATCCCATTTGTAAGTGCAAGAAGAAATATTTGCAATCATCAATCCTAAATTAATCTTCTTTCATTTTCAAGTTCTTTAACTTTGTTCCAGTTACTCTCTTTCCACAAAAAAAAATAATAATATATTTTTCTGCTAAATCTTTTATTTGCTTTCTTTAAAACAATGGTGCCTAAAAGTTAGATCCCCAGATGTTGTAGAACTACAACTCCCATGATGCTTTGCATGCCTTGAGAATGACAATGCATCATGGAATCTGTAGTTTTAAAACATCTGGGGACCTCTGCTCTAAAACCTTTGGCAATATCGGCCTCTAAGTTTCTTACTTCTTCTGTCACTAACCCACAAAAATACGTACAATTTTGAATTAAAGATTTTGAGTCTGGTAATTTTATTACTAAAAGAAAAAAATAAGTTAATCTCCAGTACTGCTATAATGCAAAAAACACTATGGTTCTTGTCTCAGCGAAACTTGGTAAGCTAGTCTGTATTCGTGAGAACCCCAATTTTGGTTAAGAGCAAACATTTTGGGACCCTTGTTCCTTTCTTTAAGTACAGTGTTATAGTAAATTGTGCATCAAACAGGCCACTTACCACATCCTCTGTTAAATCGCATTTTACCACCATAGGCATGTCACAATTTCTAACTAGAGGATGTTACTTTAACAGGGTTACTCGCTAAATCAGGAATAGCGTAAAGTTGACAAAAAAATTCACTTTTTTTGGCTAAAATATCAGAATTGGATAAAACTTTCTCACTCACAAAAACACCCCTAAACCCTCGCATTATGATATCATCCTATACGCTAGATTAAAAAAATGATATAATCTGCGATACATTTCATCAGACAATGAGAAAACAAAGCAGATTCTTGTTAAAACAGCCTACAAAGTGAAAGATACACTGGGCTTACCTTGTGGGGCTTCTCTCGCAAAATGATTCATTTTGTGTCTAATAAAATGAGTGTTAAAACGTTACCACCGAAAGGAAAATGCAGATGTG